CCTTGATTCCTCTGGGTAAACCCGATGTTTTTGGAGTGTGTCAGTGGGGATTCCCCGCAGCGCACGTGTGTGAAACGGGGCGTGTTTGAACTGCCCTGTCCCTCGGGGCCATGCACGCGCCCGTGTGAGGGCACGAAGGGCGGGGCGGGCGCTCTCCCCCCACCCAGCTCCTGCTGCTGCCCGTGCCGTGAGCCGGGACCGGGCGCGCGTGCAACCCGCTACTTCTTAGCTCAGGCTTCAGACCCTGCCAGAGCCTTCAGCCCGGTCAGACAGCCCCTAACCCGGCTGCTCCCCACCCTGCCCGGCTGGACTCGGGGGTCGCACACGCCGCTCCCCTGTGACAGCCCACGGGGCAAACGAGCTCCTGAGTCTTGGTGGGGGACGAGCAGCCGTTGTCTGCGCCTGCCGAGCAGGCTGGCATGGGGAACAGGGGGCTGAGGCTGCGCCCTGGCAGACGCCAAAGCCAGGCCCACGCAGGGTGCCTTGCAGAGCTGTGCACTCCCGCAGTGAGATACGGCAAAGTCCCCCGAGAGGAGGCCCACAAGCCCTGCATCCTGGGCTGGGGAGGAGCAGTCTCCGGGGTGCTGAGCCCAGCTCTGGGTAGGGCCCAGCCTGGTCCGGCTCAGGGCCCGACACATCTGTGCTGCCCCTGTGCAGGGTTACTCCTGAGCTCGGCCGTGGGCTTCTCCTGCAGAGCCCAGCATCCACTGGCCTGTTGGCACCCATGACTCAGTGATACTCCTGCGACATGCAGCCGTGGCCCTGTTGGGGTGTGGGGCCCACCACTGAGGGGAGGGACGAGATCTGCCCCTCCGGTGGCTAGATGGATGCTGGAAAGCCACGACCGAGGTCCAGGGGCAGAGCAACGCTGGCACCTTGGCTCCCTGCTGGAGGATCTTGTTGTCAGCAGGGGCTGTGGCCGGGTGGGGCAGATGTGCGGGGAAGGGGTGGGAGCCCCCTTGGACATGCTGGGCAAAGCACTGGAGAAGGCTGCTGGCCCATCTGTGCCTGGCTCGGGGGCAGAGACACTGCGTGATCCCAGTATCTCCACCTGCTGCCAGTTGGCAGCCGAGTGTCCCCATGTGATGGTCAAGCCACTCTCTGCCAGGGCACAGGCAACGTCCGACCTCCTGCTCCAGAGGCCTTTGAGATCGGGGAGGCTGCCCGTGGGGTAACCTGCTGCCCTTCGCAGCTGGGGCAGGTGCCAGGCTTGGGAGCACCGTGCTGCCAGCCCTGTGTGCCGGACGCTCCCATGCCCAGGGAGGGCAGGGACGTGCTGTGTTTCCTTACCCTACCACCTGCCCCCAGCCCGCTTTCAGAGCCCTCGGCTGCACAGGGTGGGAGCTGGGCAGGGTGGCAGCTGGCTGGCACAGGGGCATATCGTGTCTATGTGCGCAGCCCCTGCTCTCTCAACATCCCCCCGGTGTCGTGGGTTCCTGGCTGACTGCGGCACCCGAAGAGCCAGCTACCGCAGGGAACAGCCCTGTTCTCTGGTGACGAATGCGGCTGTCTCTTGGCTGGGGCGCCCTGGGGACGTGGTGCTCTGGCCCCAGGAGATAGGGCTGCTGGTCTCACCCTCCTCTCCTTCCCCCCCAGGCGAACCGCACGTGCCCGATCTGCCGGGCGGACGCGTCCGAGGTGCACCGGGAGGCCGAGTGAGGCTCACAGACACTTTGCCGCACAATTCACTAGAGGAAGAGGACCTTGGGCAAGGGGCCCGGGCCACCAGCCCGCCCCCTGGGCCCGGCCGTGCGCTTAGCCCCAAGGCTCTCCTCGGCTGTGGTGAGAATAGAAGCAATCTAGGATCCCGGACACCCCTCCTCCTCCCCCTGGGCCTGGTGCGCTCCCCGCGGCGCCGGAGCTGGCCCCGGAATGGTGCTGGGGGTGTGGGCGGAGGCGCCTCCCCGTGCTCCGTGCACCCCAAAGACGCCGGCCTCGCGCCATCACTTTCCGCTCTTTCTATCTGTTGGGTTTGGGTTTTCTCTTGAGTTTGGGTTTGTGGCTGCGTGACCCGGGCGCGGCGAGGACGGCACTGGAGGAAGCCTGGCAGGTTTGATCGCACCAGCAGCCCGAGGCAGGAGGGCCAGGCGAGCTGCCCGGGATGGACGGAGCCCTGGCGGGCAGCAGGAGGAAAGGGTCAGTGGTGCACCAGGCCCAGCAACCCGAGGCATTACCGGGGGCCAGGCCTCTCCCACCCCCTAGTCCAGCCTCCCGTGGAGAGCAGGTCGGGCTGGGGCCTGGCACTGTCCCGCAGGAGCCCGGACAGGAGGATCCCCAGTTCCGCTGTCCTTCCCTTCCCCTGGGCTGGCCGGCCGCTCTGCCAGGAGTGAGGGACGGGGGTGGGGAAGCAGGCTGAGCTCCAGCTATACCCTTCCCGCGCCTCGCTGACCCATCCCTGCCTGTGTGCCCGGCGCGAGCCCCCTGCGCCGTGGCTGGAGCCCGAGTGAGGACTCTGCATGCCACACGTCCCGGCTTGCCGGGCAGGCGGCCCCGGAGCGGGCTCCGGCCCCATTTTTAGATATTCTCGAGGTGAATTGTAACTGCCCTGTGCAGAGGGTGACGGAGGAGCCCCCCTGTACCTCCAGCCCCGCTATAGCTGCTCTGTGCTGAGCTGTCGGGCAGCCACGAGGCTCCCAGCAGGGCCCTGCGCTGAGGGGCTGGGGGGCAGCAGGTGGGCACTGATTTATGGATCTTCCCTTCCCCCAGCTTGTATCATGGAGAAGCCGAGCTGGTGCTCCCCCTCCCCCCTCCCTCTGCCTCCACCCCAGCCCCAGGAGAAGGTGCCCTGGTAATGCCTCTGCATGATCTGTTGCTTGTGCCCTGGGTCTGGTCCTGTGGGTGCACGCACTGTGCTGCCCAGACGCCTCCCAGTCGAAGCCCGGGAGCGGCCAGCCCGGTGCCTGAAGTGTTTGTCGTGGAAGTCGTGTTGCATGACGTAACGAGAAGAACTCTCTTCCTGGGGCGGGGGAGACGGACGCCAGCCCCGGGTCGGTGTTCACTATATGCATGCGTGTCTGGGCGGCTTGGAACGTGGTATTGACTCACTGGCCAGCGGGGGCGAGGGGCTCTGTGCTCAGCTGATTACTGCCAGGCACCGGGCTGCACGTGGCCAGCACCTCAGGAGGACCGTAAGATTTTCAGGACATTTCCCCCCTCCCCCCAAGGTAAACTGAGTCAGGAGGAGCCCGGGGAGGAGGAGCCAGCTTAACCAGCAGACGCATGCTGATGTTCCCTCTCCACTGGCCAGAGGTGAGAAGTTGGGGGGGAGGGAGGGGTCAGAGAGAGCAGCACCCCCTTCTCGTTTGCTGTGCCCCACCCCTCCCCCAGCTCACTTGCACCTGGGGCGAGCGTTGGCCACCAGAATGGCCCCCGGTGCTCTGAGCTTCCCACAGGCGGACTGGGGCTTTGCCCCCCTCCCCCAGGGTGGAGCGGGGCAGGGAGGTGGGACTGCTCTGCTGCTGGGAAGCCCTGGCTGGGCCATGGTGGCCGTAGCTAGGACAGGAAGCGGGTGGGGTGAGGGGTTTTGTGGATGGGGGGCGGTGGGGGCTCCCCTTTTTAAAACAGCGGGTCAGTGCCATGCGCTGGCTCAGCAGTACTGTGCTCTGGAGCAGGGGGGGACGTCTGGGGACGTGGCCAGGGGGACTGGGCCGGGTCTCCGCAGCCATGCAGGGTTTGGGGTCGGGCAGCAGGAGCCGGGCTGCTCACCGGAGTTCCTGGCTGGGGGTGGGGAGTCCCGGGAAACCAGACCCCCAGTGGTCGGTGTTGGGGGGCTGGTGTTCAGAATCCAGCTGGCAGCGTGTGGGTGGGGGGCTCTGTCCCAGGAGGATGGTCCCCCAGCCGCCCCCCCAGGTTAGCTCAAGGCAGAGCTGGGAGCCTCCCGGCCTGGCCTCTTCGGGCCTCTTGCACCCTGTGCCTGGGGCACAGGCACGGGAGGCCGGGCTGTGGCAAAACAGCCACTTCCGCGTGGCCGCAGCGAAGGCCCTTCCTGCTCTCGTGGCCAGCGGAATCGTGGTATTCTCCAGACGGGGCCCAGCTGCTTCATTATGCACAATCCCGTTTGTGGCGGAAGCTTTTACGCTGTCCCGGGAGAGCTGCCCTTCCGGCCGGCTGAGGCATCGGGCTGGGGTTTGCTCTGGGGCCAGCCAGCAGCCCCCCTGGCCTCTCCTGCCTGCCAGGCCAGCGCCCGCTCCTGAGCTCAGGCAACCCGCTCAGACCCAGCACCCCCTCCCCCCGCTTTCAACCCACACGAATAACCAAAGGTCTCTTCTGTACATAGCCGCAGCGACGTGGCTCTGTGTAGAGCCACTCGGAGCAGTGTTAGCACCCCCCGTTTTAAAGCCCCTTTACAGGTGCCCCGTGAAAAGCCTTACGGTTCTTTTGATGGTGACTCGAAAGCTCACAGCTCGTGTGCTGCAGAATTTATTCCATTGAGCAGCTAAAGTCTCATTTAAAAACAGCCCCCCAGTTATTTAGGATGTTTGTGATTGCTGATTGCGCTGTAGATACCACTGTTCCCAGTGAGTTCCTGTGGTGGGGTAGTGGACTGTTTACTGTTCTATTATTCCAGTCCCCGGGCCCTCCAGAGGGAAAGCTCGGCGGCCCCCCTGGACGGTGCTAGGACGTGTGTTCTGTGTTAGAAAGGTTTCTATCTATATATATATATATAAATATATATATAATTTTTTTGCTCTGTTACTTGCACATTTTACAGTTACCTCATTTTCCCATGTATGTATTTGAGAAAAGGCTAATATATAGAGAAAACGGTTCTGAGAGCTCTAAACGTGTGTGGGTTTTCCATTCCATTGGACTCGTATTGGGTTTGTAGCATTTCACACACCTAGGCCGTTGTATTATATACATGTGTATTATACGGATTGAAATTTTTAACAGATTTGTACTTTTTTTAAAATGGAAGTTGCTAGTTCGGCTTGATCAAGTAGTGCAATCATTATTTTTTTTAATGTTGTGGCTGATTTTGAGAGGGATACTCACTAATAAATGTATGATGTATACCAATGCGCCGCACCCAGCCTCTCTCTCCTCGTTGCCTCTGGCTACTGCTGGCCCATGGAGCGCCACGGGTGCTCGCCCGCTTAGCGTGGGGCTCAACGCCTGCTCCCCCAGCTGCCAATCACGTCGTCAGCTTCCCGGCAGCCTGGGGCTGGCCCCAAGTCTACACCCAGCACAGCGGGCAGCATGTCCTGGAGCCTGCAGGGCCCAGCATGCAATGCTCTAGCGTGAGTCACACTTCCCTTCTGCATTGCATGCTGGGCCTGCAGCTTCCAGGTGCTGCACCTCCCTATGGGATCGAAGAGGGGAGGGGTCCGTGTTGCCCTTGCACAGGGGCAGGAGCCTGGCCACCCCTGCCCACAAGTGAGAGTCGCAGCTGTACCCCGGTGACTGATGGGAGCAGGGGGCCAGGCCCTGGGGGGAAGCAGCCCCTTGCTCCTGACCCGCTCAGTGTCCAGTGATAAATGAGGTTTGCACAAGCAGGCGAAACAGTCCTGGGCTCTGCTCCATGCTGTCAGGAGCACCTGCCCCTGCGGCTGTGTGGGACCTGCAGCTTGCTGTGGATTCCGTCTTCCTGCTGCAGCGGTAACCAGGAGCCACGGGGCAGAAATGGACTGAAGCTGCTGGCTGCTCCGAGCACCAGGTGCAGCTCAGGTGCTGCAGGCGAGTACAGCTTCGCTCTTCCTAGGCTGGGTGGTGGAAGCCAGGGTCCTGGCTGGCTGTGCCGCCTTATCCCTGCCTGGCCCACGTTCCTTTCAGCACGATTCTGGAAGGAGAAACCAACGCAGCTGCATGTCAGAAATGAGGCTTCTCACAGGAAACTCATTCCCTGGGGGGACCTTCACTGGGGTGGATTCCACACCTGGAGAAACCCTGGGGGCCAGGCTGCAAGCAGCACCCTGGTGAGTCAATGGTAATAAATCTAGAGCAGAGGTAGCAACTTCCCTCTGAGGGGCTCAGCGCTTGAGCACAGGCTCCATGGCCCTGGAGCCAGGCTTCCCTCATGCTGAGCAGGGGCAGTGCAATCTGCCTCGGACTGTCACTGGGGGAGCAGGAGTCACAGGTGAGGGGGGAGAAGTGAGGTGCTGGGCAGCCTGGTGTGGGAACTGGCTTTGGGCCCTTATCTGAGGGTAGTGGAGTGACAATTCCTTGTAGTAACTCAGAGCCCTCACCCTCTAGTGTCCCATAACTGGCCACAGGAGATACTGGGTTTTTTCCCCACTGGTCCCCTTGGGTGGCTGTTCGAGAATTTCACTCCTCTGAGGGTTAGAAACCTTCACCTAATTTCAAGCCTAAACTTGAGGGTCAGTTTAGAGCCATTTGTTGTGCCAGCATTGGCCCTTAACTTAAACTCTTCCTCTCCCTCTCTGCTGTATTTATAGAGAGCAATCGTGTCTCCCCTCAGCCTTTGTTCGGTTAGGCCAAGCTCTCTGAATCTCCTCTCAAAAGGTAGGCTTTCCATTCCTTGGATCATCCTAGGTGCCCTTCTCTGCATCTGTTCCAGTGTGAATTCATCTTTCTTAACCAGGGAGCCCAGAACTCCACACACTATTCCAGATGAGGTCTCACCGATGCCTTGTAGAATGATGCTAACACTTCCCTGTCTCTACTGGAAATACCTTGCCTGATGCATCCTAGGACTGCATTAGCCTTTTTCACATCCCATATCACATTGCCAGCCTGTGATCAGCCCATACACACAGATCTTTCTCCTCAGGTACTTCCATCTGATACATCCCCCTTATAGCAAAAATTCTTGTTGCTAGCCTAAGTGCATGACCTTGTACTGTGCACTATTAAATTTCATCCCATTTTTATGCCACTGGTCATCCAGATCTTTGTGTATGATATTCCCGTCCTCCTCCAGACTGGCACTCGCTCCCAGCTGTGTCATCTGCAAATTTTATTAGCACCCTCCCAGTTTGTTAACCAGTTCCTTAGCCTCCTCCCCTACCTTCCCCCACTTCCCATGGGCTGGCACTTCTTGCCAGCTGGTGATTCCCTGGCTGCTCCCTGACAGGAAGTCAGCTACTCCTTCAGAGAGGCCAGCTAGCGTACCCCCACTTGCAGCTTCCACTATCAGTCCAGCCCTGGGTCCTGTTTGAGAGCAGGGAGATGTTCTCCCCAGGTGGAGCTCAAGCTCCAAGGGACTGCCTGGAGAGACACAGCCCCGCTGCTGCCACGGGCTGGCCCCAGCATGCATGCCCGCCCCTTCGACACAGGGATCACATCACCCACCCTGAAATGCAGCTTGTGCCAAGGTGGGATCCAGCAGCTGCTGGAGGTGCAAGGGGCTAGCACCTGCCAGATGGCAGCATCCTGTTGTGAAATGCTACAGGTTGGCTCTTCCATGGCTACAAGGGGGAAGTACCTGTTCTGCAGCTCCCTCAGGTGACCCAGCCCAGGCTGGCTGCAGCTGGGCTTTCTGTGCAGAGAGCTGTGCTGGGATTGTGGCATCCCTGAGCTCTGTGCCTGCATAGGGGCAGCTGCACCTCTTCCTTTAATCCTTGCTGCTCGCTTGAGGAACCAGGGGGTGTGAGGGGACCTGCTGGAATCTCATTCTGGCCGGGGAGTCAGACAGGACAAAGCGGCGGGGGGGAGATCAGTGGTTGTTACCACACAGATAGTACCTCAGGCTGCAGAGACCCAGGACTGCACTTCTTCAGCAGAGAGTTCTTCTGTTCAGGTGGCCCAGAGCGCTGTCTCTACACTCGGTCAGCAAAAAGGCCCGTACTTAAGATGCAAGAGTCTTTTCAGGCTGCCTGGCTGAGATGCAGCCAAAGAAAGGAAAGGGGACCAATAGATTCCCTTGCAGGGCTCCTGCTGCCTTCCCTTACATGATACCTGGGTCCTTCCTGGGGAAAGCAGTAGACTATGAGCAGTGGGCTGTCAAGGGAGAGGGCACTCAGCCATCAATACCTACAAATCAACAGGACAAATGGGTTAGGCTTCTTTAAAAGGACTAATTAACGCTCCTTTTCTCTGCTCTTACCCTTCTACAGAACTCAAAAGCATAGCTGTGATAAGTCCCCCAGCTGCCACCACAAATATATGGCCTCTGGCTTTAGCCACTAGAACTTGGTGTCTGCCTCTCAACTCTTACCCTGGAGAAACATGGGGGTGCAAGCTGTACTTTCCCTGGCAGTGCTGGGAACCCAAACAGCGGTAGGGGCACCTGCCAGGGAAGGGCTGTGACTCCCTGGGCCTAGCACCTTTGGGAAAGGGGCAACAGCCAACATGAGGAAGGTAAGCTGCAGCGACTCCGGTTAGCACCAGTGTAACCAACACTCCGGCCTCGCTGTCTCTCATCCCACCAACTGTTTGGCTCCAAGAGACCTCAAGGTCACCTCCCTCCCTTAGTCTACAACTTTTCCGTGCAGCCGCAAGGCAGCATGACAGGAAGGGGGGAATTCTGCAGCCTGACTCAGGAGCCAGGTCAGAGACCTTAATAACTGCGGCAAACCAATCCTCTCCTCTGTGCAGCCCTGTACTAGCTGGAATGAGGCTGCAGAACAAGGAAGGCGCTTGAATGGATCTACTTCTCTAGGGCTGGTACCATACAGCAAGGATTCCCCGCACCAGGTACGAGCAGAGTGACTAAGATGAGGCCTCCCCACAGCTGGCAATGTTGTCTTTCTGCACAACAGTATCTGGCCAGCCCTGGTTAGTCAGTCCCGAGACTCACCCCTACGCAAACCCAATGAATTTTTGGACAGCCAGCAAAGCAAAGGCAACCTGCCTTCCCCTGCACCCCAAGGGAGAGCACTTGCACTTCATGGGGCCCTACTCAGCAGGAGTTCCTAGATTGGCTCATCTCTTAAAGACCATGTTAGTAGGTGCTGACTTCTGCAATTCTACTGGGCATGACTAGGGAGACCAGATGTCCCGATTTTATAGGAACAGTTCTGATTTTTGGGTCATTTTCTTATATAGGCTCCTATTACCCCCCACCCCTGTCCCGATTTTTCACATTTGCTGTCTGGTCACCCTGGACATGACACAGGCAATGGCTGCTCCACAGCACCTGGAGCCAAGAAGGCTGAATGAAGACAAGTACAGAGCTAGATTAACCTTACAACACGGAGCCTAAGACAAGATCCATTCCCAGTGTGTGCAGGTAGGTCATTAGAACCAGCTCAGAATGCCCCCTACACATGCCCTCCACCCTCTACAGTGGGTGCCTCGTAGCTGACTGGCTCCCCTGCGGATGGAACGGGAGCAGCCCGTGTGGAGAGGAAAGACTGACACCAGGAAGCATTCGCACAGGCACGCTAGAGGCAGAGTTTATTACACTACGCAGGCTAAGAACCCTGGGCAAGATCCCATGGCGTTAAGAACTTCAACCAGCTCTTTATCAAAAAATTAATACCATTGTCAACTCCAGTCTCCTTTGGTCATTACAAAGCAAGAGAACTAGTAAAAGGAAGGTTTTTATACACAGGGGGAAGCCGAAGAAATTCTGTCCATCCCTCCCCTCCCCAACACAGGCAGGCCCCCAACCCATTGCACAGGTGCAGTGTCCTTTGGCCACCAGGAGCAGGAAAGTATCAAATCTTCACAAGACGGCAGGCCTTGGGGCTCTAGTATTTTCAATAAAAGCAATATTTACCAAGAGCTGCCATTTCTGCCCTTCCCTGGGGAGGGCAATGGTGGCCCCCCTCCCTCTCTGCCATCAAGTGTAAGGGGATGACTGTGCATGGGAGTAGGTGAGCCATGGATCTCGTGCCAGTGCAGACACAGAGTGGCTGGCGCAGGTGACGTGGTCTCTGATCCCTCATTTGTACGCAGCAGTCTTTAAAAAAAATATTGTATTATAATAATAATCTGAATTTCTCCTTCCATTGTGTTTTGGAAAAGTGTCAATCGTCCGTGAGGTCCTGAACAAAGAGAACTTCCGTGTGGCTGAGTCCAGCCTCCTGCAGCGTGGGGGGGTTGGGCCACTCCTCTGTAGGGAGGCAGGGCAGGACACGGCGAGGGAAGTTGGCCTCAATCTGGAACTTCTCTGGGCTCTCCTTCAAGGAGAATAGGAAGTCATGGATCACCTGGAAGGGAAGCGCAGAGGCATTTGCTAATGGACAGGCAGCACACAGTAATTCCTGCAGTCCTGGGCGAGGTACTACAATGCCCACCTGGTGTGGGGGCCGGGCTGCTAGTCTCTTAGCAGTCAGAGCATTTCATCTGTCAAACACTTAAGACAACCTGAACCCTGCACGAGGACACAGAACCAGACTGCCCACTAGGGACAGCTGTTTTCTCAAGACCCTGCTTGAAGCATGCCAGAGGCTGGTCTCGGTGTTCCTGGGAAATCCAGAGCACAGGCTCAGTCCCTCGCACACCCATGGACTGAGAAGCAGCAGGAAGCCCACGTTTAGGAGAGGAAAAAGCAGTATTTCAGCTTTACATCTGGTCTTTGACTCTTCTCTTGCTTCCCTGCCAGCTGGATCCTGCCCAGCAGTGACAAGCGTGGTTACCCTCCCCCATGCAAGCATATCACGTCTGCCTACTGTGGCTCTAGCAAGGGTGCCCTCGTGACAACAGTGAGTGTGGCCACCCCCAGCCCGTCTAGCCAGCTTGAGAATTTGGGATTCTGCTGCTGCTCTAGACATCTGACCCCCCTCACCGTTAACGACTGTGTGAAATGGAATCGCCTCTCCACTCTGGAATCATTGGGCAGCTTGAAAATGATCTTCACGCTCTCTGGGTCATCGGGATGCGGCTCTGGAGGAAGGCATTCCGATTTGCGCACCTTCTCCTCCTGCAGAGTCTGAAAAGCAACGAAGAAGATCAGAGCACCAGGCTGGCATGGAGCTGGTCTCAATGCCAAGGCATAGCACGTCCTGCCCAGGAGACAACGTGCCCCACAAAGCCCCAGAGAAGACGTACGAGGCAGATGCAGGATTATACGAACTCAGCACCTGATTGGAAACCAGCGAGCAGGCCGACCACGAAGGGAGGAAGCCCTGGAGTGGGAACCTGGCAGGAAGCAGCAGCGAGAGCTGGGAGCCAGCGTTGCTGCTGTGCTTCCCAGGCTCACTTCTGTCTCACCTGGCGCCGTCTCTCCTCCGCTAGCTTCTGCTGCTGTACCTCTTCCTCCCTTCTCTTCTTCCTCTCCCGTTCCTCCTTTTTTTTGCGTTCCTTTTCCTGATCCGCCCGCAGAGAAGCCAGGTACGCCTCATCCTGCTGCTGCCTCAGGACCTGCGTTTGGTTTCTCTCCTCCCTGCAAACATCAGGGAGTGAGGGTGGTTAACATCAACAGACCAGAAACCTGGGCAGGGCAGGGCAAGAGGAGGACAGTAGCCTCCACAGCACTAACACTTCTCAGATGAGGCGCACACAGACGATGCAGAAGGTTTCCCACTTTTGAAGGAGGCTGGGCTCTCTATGGTGACTAGTCCCTGGCATAGATGGCATCCATTTTAGGATAAATGCACAAACAAGGGCTGTAGTGTGGGCAAGTGCCATGCACACTGCACCCAAAAGCTCTGCTCTGCAGCCCTCTGCTGCAGACAGCTACTCCCTTGTTTCTTTAGCCTGTTCCTGACTCACTTTAGAAACCCACAGGTCTGACCATCAGCTAGGCACACACTCTGACTGGGAAGCAGGAAGGACTAAAGGGAATGAGACACTGAGCTGGCGTCCTATCGGCTCTCAGTCTGAATGGAGCCCACATCAATACTTGGAGGGGGCATGTGTCAAGGAGACAGCCGCAGGACATCACAAATGCAGCCTTAACCCAGTAACACAGCCACCCGGGGCTGGAGGTCCAAAGCAGGCGACTCCCATACAGGACTGGCTGAAATGCCTGGATCCCAGTTACGCTCTTAGCCACAGTCACAGTCCAGCTACATCCAGACTTTCCGTGAAAGGTGCCAGCAGCTCCTGGCTGCCCCAAATGTCCAGAAAAATGGAGCAGATTGTGGTTACTCGTCTTTGAGCAGGAATGTTGCCTATGGAGACCTCGATTCCCAGAATGCAGTGTAGTCTGAATGTACACATCGGGGGGGGGAGCACTGCATGCACCAGCATTTCCACTGGCCACTGAATGCATTGCAGAACCAAGTGCAGCCTACACTGAGCCCCCCTGAATTAGATCTGACCCACTCAACTGAGAATTCCCAGCTCCACAAGACAAGTATTACTGGGGCTTCCAGTTCCCAGCCTAGTACCTTTCCAGGCGCTCAGACACCAAGTATGTCTGGTTGGCATCCATGATGAATGTCAGCTGGTTAATGAGGTCATCAGGCTGGATGAGGCCTTCTAGCCGCCCCACCACCGTCATTCTGCGATCTTTCAACATAATCATGGCGAGGAATGGGTATGTGTTCTCACGCAGAGCCTGGGACACTGGGAGATGGGCACAGAAACCACCATCACCACTGGCAGTCCCAACAGAGAGGCCAAGGGGTCATAAGACTAGAATTGCCTCCCTCCCCAAGCCTCTAGAGGTGGGCAGCTCCCGCTGTCCTGACAGTCCCCTTGCTGGGCATAGAGACACAGCTTCAGACTCCATGGCTGCCAACCCACTAGTCCATTCACTTTTTAGAAGTGACCTGTGAATCAGCAAAGCTGAGACAACCAAGACAGACGTCAGAGGTGTTCTTCTGGAGACAGTGACACCTCCAAGGGCTCAGTAGCCTGGCAGTCCCAGGTTCAATTCTTGGACCCAGCTGCTCGCTCTGTGGGCCACAAAGGATCTAGACTACCACACAAGCCACTCTTTCAGTCTTTGGAGGACGACACGCATTGTTCAGCACAACCCCCACCAGGCACTTGCAAGGACAGGTATCAATTGCTCGGAAAGGATTTTTAGGTTACAGTTAACGGCATGCTGCAAAGCCTAGTTGTGGACTAGTAGGTGGATATTCTAGCCCCCCATCCAGTCCTAAGAAGGACCCTGAGATATGAGGGGGAAAAAAACCAAGGAAATCTCCTGTGGCCATTTTGTCCCTAGGCACCACGCAAACCACTGTCATTAGACACCTGCTTCCCCACTCAGCCTAACACCCCTATGACAAGGGCACTGAAGGAGCAGCAGCTAGCTCTGCTGAGACAGGACAGTGAAACAGCCAGTATTAAGAGCAGAGGGCTCCTTGGGCTACAATATTAGTTTCAGATATGGTATGTCCTCTGTTATGCAGAATGTGGTATGGATTAGCCCCATTCCACTCAGTGTAGTAAGGAATCACAGGCTGGTCTCTGGGGGCTATCACTTACTCACCTGCACAGGGAAATTATCAAGCATGCAGAACAGATGCAGATTGTCTGCAGTACTAATCTGTTTATCCCAGATTTAACAAGAATCAGGAAGAGTTCAGCGAGGGAAGACACTCACCTCTGTATCCCTCTGGTTTGTTTGTGGAGCATGCCCAGAAAAGCATCCTAGTGTTGATGAGGGTGATCACCTCCGGTGCACACAGTGTGTTGCTGGGGGAAGAGAAGAGATGGCAGACAGAGCTGGGTCCCAAACACATGGCCAGTTATTTAAGAAAACTCTCTTCAACCTACCGACAGAATTCATCTGAATCTTGGTGGTCATCACCGTGAAGATAAACCAACAGGAAGCGCAGCTCCCGCTTAGCGTCATTCAGCGCCTGGGGAGGGAGCACAGAAAAGCTGGAGTCAGAGGGGCTGGAGCACTGGGACTGCTGCCCCCTTGGTATTGCAGCGGGATAGGTGTGCCAGTGGAAAACTGCCAGGGGAAGCAGTTTTTCAATCTAATGTGGTATTAATTGAAGAGCATGCAACAGAGGAGGAACATGCCAGACCTCCCTCCACACCAATGTGCCCAGCGAATTCTCTGCATGCAGGAGAAAAGAGCCCTTGACTGTGCTTTCTTCACTGTTCCCTGGCAGGCAGGGCCTTGGGAGAATGCCAAGCAAAGCACTGCACACCTAGTGACCCAGGAGGATTTCTCTGGCTCAGCCTCCAGGAGGATTCCCATGGCCCAGAATCATGTGCAGTTTTTTCTCCATTTTCCAATTTGGAAGATGTAGGATCCAACCTTCCAACCACATCCATTGAAACAAGTTATTAAGCTGATTTCTGTAACCCCCCACTTCTCAGCTGAAACATTTCACTTACCCACAAGCCCAGCAGCGTAAGTGTTCGATGGACTCTGTTTAACTGGCGCTGAGTTGCTGATAGCCCAACAGCCCCATATCAATCTAAGTTTGGGTTCTAAGTATGGCCCCTTGTTCCTGGGGGCAGGGACTGCTGGAGGGAATGACCTAAATACTTGAGTAGTGCTAAGGGATATCGGCTCAGCAGTGCTCTCTGGCACTCTACCTGCTGGGATGGACTCCACAACAGCGGCGTGTGCGCGCATTGGGGCTAGGACTGAAAGGGGGCAGGGGAAGGAGACAGACACATGCTAGGGAGCTCCTCTTCTTCTGGGAAGAATCATCACCCAAATCTGACAAAAGAGGGATCTGTTCTCTCCTTTTACCTCCTTGGCTCAAAGGAGCCATTTCCCCAAGTTTCTCAAGTTACTGGGCTAAATTCTGCTCAGACTTGGTGCAGCCCCAGTCACTTCCAATGGGGTGTACATCAGGACAGACTTTGGGCCACTATGTCAGCTTATAAAACTGGTACTAGCAGAATGAAGTAGGCTTCTGAACCACAGAGACAGCTGAGGAACTGCCAGATCAGCTTTGCCTTCCCAACTTCAGTTGTTTGGCAAGTCCCTGAGCCTGGCAGAGACCCCACCATGGCAAATGCCTACAGTGGGATGGACTCAGGTTTCTAATACGCTCATAATCGAGATCTCCATTACCTCGTTACTGAGTCTGAACATTAGTACTGGACTTTTAAAATGCAAAATGGCTTTTGTCATTCCTCTTTAGGGCCAGTGTGCCAGGCAATACCAGGAAGATAGTCCCATGTACCTTTGCACCAACATGCTGTACTGACCTGGCTGTATGTTCCCTGGTAGAAGACAGGGTGTATCCTCCCATATTTTTCCTCAAACATATGAATAAATGAAACAATGTCACCCACTGGGTCCGTGACCCTACTGCGAGGGTCAGGGCGTATAAAACGCACAGCAAACCTACGAGAAAAGCATAGGACACTGGAAATTCAGCTTACTGACTTTCTGAAGAGCTTTTTCTGGTCAACATTTACAGCTATCTGCTAATACACTGACCACTCCATCTTGAGACCATAATATGAGCCCCCTATAGAAAAACCTAAGCCAGGTAAAGTTCCGTACTCCAAGGCATCAGCTGATTGCCAGAGATTATGATGGATTTCCTCACCTGCACTCCCTCCACGAACGGCACTGCATAACTGGCCAGCTCTATTGTGTGTGTGGAAGGTTCAACATCCTCTGAAACATCAGGCATAAGCCCCAGCCACAGACAGGATACCAGATCTAAGGGATCATTGGTCTTATATTGGCTGGCAATTCATATGAAGTTGATCAGGACAAGTCTCTTCCAGAACTGCAGTTTTGTTGCACAGAGGGTTTAAAGCACGAGTGTTTATTTTAGGCAGCTGCTGGAAGAGGCGATTACACCAGGGAGCAAATAATTGCAGCCTGTTGTCTGTGTCTTGGCTCTTTAGACTGTAAACTCTAAGGCAGGAACTGGGTTACCCTACATGCTTGTTCCCGAAGGGAACCTTTGGGCCGTGCCTCAATAGATATAAGTGTGCCCATTCCTTGTTTGGTCTCCATTGTTTAATATTTAGGAACTGCTAGTGTCAGCCTGATTTTGAATTAGGATTAAATACATTAGTTTCCTTTACAGATTCATAAGACACTGCTAGGAATAGAATAAAATCGTAGGGCTGGAAGGGACCTCAAGTCCTGCCTCAGCACAGCGGGCTGGACCAAGTAAGCCTGGACCATCCCTGATAAGAGTTTTTCCAACCCATTCTTAAAAACCTCCATCGCCTATTCCAGATCTTAACTACCCTTAGGCCATGTCTATGCTACCCACCGCATCGGCGGGTAATGATCGATCTATCGGGGATCGATTTATCGCATCTAATGTAGACACGATAAATCGATCCCCGATTGCTCTGCCGTTGACTCCAGAACTCCTCCACAGCGAGAGGCGGAAGCGGAGCGGTGGCCGTCGATCCCGCGCCACGAGGACGCGAAGTAAGTGATTCTAAGTCTATCTAAGTTAAGTCTACTTCAGCTACGCTATTCTAGTAGCTGAAGTTGCATACCTTAGATCGATCCCCCACCCTAGTGTAGACCAGGCCTTAGAGTTAAAAAGATTTTCCTAATTTCTAACCTAAATCTTTCTGGCTGCAGATTAAGCCCAATACTTGTGGTCCTACCTTCAGTGGCCATGGAGAGCAACTAACTGATCATCGTCCTATTTATAACAGCCTTTCACATATTTGAAGACTTATCGGGTCCCCCACTTGGTCTTCTTTTCTCAAGTCTAAACAGGCCGTTTTTTAAAATCTTTCCACATAGGTCAGGTTTTCTAAACCTTTTATCATTTCTATTGCTCTCCTCTAGACTTGCTCCAGTTGTCCACATCTTCCCTTTAAAGTTTGGCACACAGAACTGGGTACAGGACTCCAGCTGAGGCCTCACCAGTGCTGAGTAGAGCAGGACAATTACCTCCTTTGTTGTCCATATGACATTTCTGTGAATACACCCCAGAATGATAACTTTTTTCACAGCTGCCTCACACAGTTGACTCATATTCAACTTGCGATCCACTCTAACCCCAGGTACTTTTCAGCAACGCCATCACCTAGGCATTATTCCTCATTTTGTAGTTGTGCATTTGATTTTTCCTTCCTAAGTACTTTGCACTTATCTTTCCTGAATTTCATCTGCTGAATTCAGACCAATTCTCCAGTTTGTCAAGGTCATTTTCAACTCTAATCCTGTCCTCCTAAGTGCTTGAAACCCCTCCCAGCGTATTGTCATCTGCAAATTTTATAAGCATACTCTCCCACTCCATTATCCAAGACATTAATGAAAATATTGAATAGTATTGGATCCAGGACTGACCCCTGTGGGATCCAACTAGGGAATCCTTCCTAGTTTGATAGCGAACCCTTGTTAACTACTCTGAGTATGGTCTTTCAACCAGTTGTGCACCCCCTTATACTAACTTAATCTAGACACATTTCTCTAGTTTGCTTATGAGAATGTGACATGGGACTGTGTCAAAAGCCTTATTAAAATCAAGATACATCATACCTACTGTTTCCCCCCCATCCACTAAGCCGTAACCCTGCCGAAGGAAGAAATCAGGTTGGTTTGGCATGCTGGCTATTCCTTATAATCCTTATCCCCTAGGTGCTCACAAAATGATAGTTTCAGAATTTGTTCCAGTATCTTTCCAGGTATTGAAGTTAGGCCGACTGGTCTATAATTCCCTGGGTCCTCTTTGTTCCCCTTCTCTAGTCCTCTGTGACGTCACCCATCCTCCATGAGTTCTCGGAGATAATACTTATCTGAAATCTATTTTCTACTATACAACATTCGTTTGTTACTAACGTCTATGTTCTAGGTCTCCAAAACACAGAAACCTTGTGACGCTACAGAGAACTTTGATGTGTGAGTATTTGATTAATACAAAACCCGACGTTTGATTAGACTTAACGGAAAATTCCAGCCAAAAGCAGCACACCCATACTTGGGAGTTAGATTTTGCTTTGCTACAATCAACAAACAAACCTGCACAAAAAAGTACTTACCTAAATATATCAAGTAACGTGTAATACGTAAATCGGAATGGAACCATTATCAAGTAGTAACCCCATCCCAACAGGCCCTGAAATTACAAACAGAGTGTTAGGGTTATCCCTACCCCTTGAGACACAGTAGTGCAGTTATCCCTCTATCAAGCATCAAACACGCTGCAATATATGTGAAACAGACAGCATGGTCTAGTGCTCTGAACTCAGGCCTGTAAGCTAGTGACTTGCTGAATGACCTCAGGCTCGTCAAATTTTCTGAGTAGTCACCAACAGGTACCTCACTTTGAGAGCCCAACCGGAGACATTTTAGGCATACAAAGCCAGTGACCACTTTCAAAAATTGGGCTTTAATCTTTTATCTCACTTTCCCTACCTGTGAAACAGGGATAACAGCACTTACTCATCTTACAGGGGTTCTGTGAAGACTGAAGTGTTATACAACTGCTACATATTAACCATCTGCAGTCAGGTTAATGGACATCTTACACTAGCACATAAAGCAGACCACATCGGTTCAGCAGGCCGTCATACAAATAGATCATCCTACAGCAAGACAGCAGGAACAGACTTTCATTTTAGTTGAGTTGGGACAGCTGAGTTGCAATTCTGCTCTGCCCTCACTTCAAGCTGTATGGGGAAGAAGGAGTTTGCTGGGTACTATGAAAAATACCAGAAAGGAAAACATCCAAAGTAGTAATGGAGAAGGTAAGAATAGTTCTGCCCAGGGAGCTGTACTGTTTGGAGCTTTCAAGAGAAAATATTTAGAAACAAGAAAGCAGATGTGCTAAGGAAACAGAGTTCCTTTCCCTGTTGATGCACTTCTTTCCTTCTTCAGAGATATCTGTACACCCATTCCACACAAAGAAACAAACCCAAACTAGTAAATAACTTGCCCTTGGTTGCGGCCTTGAAACAACATAGCTGTAGATCCTGTGGTCGGCTGTATTGACCTGCAACGGCCGGGATGGAGGTGGATTGAAGACACTTGGGACGCCCTCTTGCTCATTCAACCGGTCCTGTACAGCTGCCTAGCATAGGAGGAGCAGCAAAAGGGGCCCATCAGAAGTTGCAATGGATACAGGCAGGTTAGAGAAAATACACTAGTTCCATTCTGAAGTTTGGGGTAGGTGTGAGTTGTCCCTGTCCCTGGAGCACCGGACATGTGCAACTTAACACATCAAAATAAAGTAACTGCTGCCAGCTTCCAGACTAGGTGTTTCCAAGGTGTCTCATACTTGTACAACCCTGAGCTTACACGGTACTGTTCCGCTGGAGAGCTGTGCCAAACAAGTGACCTGTTCATAGCCCTGCCTCCCAGTCTAGGGGCTCAAAGTGGTAGTACAGGAAAAAATGCAGGCACAGGGCAGGAGGCCATAAATGGCATGTTAGGCACCATTAGGAAAGGGATAGATTGAGAGAGAAAATATCATAATACCATTATATAAATCCATGGTACACCTGCACTTGAATACTGAATGCAATTCTGGTAGTTCCTTCTCAAAAAAAAGATGAACTGAATTCAGAAAAAGGGCACCAAAAATGATGAGGGGGGATGGAACAGATTCCATGTGAGGAGAGATTACAAAGACTGGGCCTGTTCATCCTAGAAGAGAGACGGTGAAGGGGGAGATGAGAGGGGTCTATAAAATCGTGACTGGTGTGGAGAAAGCAAGTCGGGACGTCTTATTTACCCCTTCCCATAACACAAGAACCAGGGGTCACCCAAAGAAATTAAAAGGCAGATAGTTTAAAACAAATATAAGGAAGTACTTCTTCACACAATGCACAGTTAGCCTGTGGACCTCATTTTCAGGGGATGTTGTGAAGGCCAGAAGTATAACTGGGTTTCTAAAAGAACTAGATAAGTTCCTGGAGGACAGGTCCATCAATGGCTATTAGCCAAGATGGTCAGGGATGCACCCCCATGCTCTGGGAATCCCTAAACCTCTGACTGCCAGAAGCTGGGACTAGATGACAGGGGTGAATCACACGATAATTGCCCTGTTCTGTTCATCCCTTCTGAAGCATTTGGCAACAGCCATTGTCAGAGACAGGATACTGGGCTAGATGGACCATTGGTCTGACCCAGTAGAATGTGGCCATTCTTGTGGGTCATGATCTAAGCAGGTGTTAAGAATGTTTTAAAAGGCGTGACAGAACTGCGTGCATGTTGGCTGGAAGGCTTGTAGAGGTGTAGGGGACTGCATGGTTGAAGACGCTAAGACTCAGAGTGGTTTAGAGGGGTGCTTGTAAAGTGTGCAAGAGGAGTAGAGGTAAATGAGAGTCTAGCCACAGAAGAGGCCAGTACAGAGATTCAATATGTGTAGCCAGACAGCCAGCCCCCCCCCCCCCCGCCCCCGATCAGCATTGCTGGAAACACAGGAGGAAGCCGGAACAGGGCACTTAACATATATTCCAGCACAGCCTTTGAAGCTGTGAAAGCACAGGTGTGCTGCTACAATGTGCCTCTGGGAACAGATACGACGATTAAGCTCACAGCAGGCAGAGGCCCTGTGACAGACATGGCTCTTAGCCCCTACTAAATAGCGTGATGCACACACACCAACATCCTAGGTGGGAAAATATTTACCCTGATAAAAGAAATGTCCAGTAGTCGAAACTTATTGTTTCTCTCCCTTGCAAGTGTAAACTACTCTTGCGAAAGCTGGCGTCACCCCGACAGACCAGCCTCAATTTGGCATAAGAAAGGAGAAAGAGAATAAAGGAGTACAGAGGTATAAGTAGGGGACCTACAGCACCATGATTTTTGAGTGCTTTTCACTATCTATCTGCTGGTCAGATAAGTGACAGCCTCCCAAGGCTTCTGCAGCTAAGAGGGTCCCTACGCCTTGTCCCTTATTCATCTTTCCGCGGAATTGAGTGACCGATCCTGGCTTGGCACCGCTGGAATCGAGAGATGCAAGGAGGGTAAGAAGCACCCACACCTGATCTCCTATCTTTAGTGTACACATATTTTGAAATAGAGCTCTATACTTTGTTTTCTTTCTTTGGGATTGTGGCTTCAGTTTTGTAACTTGTTTGTGTGTGTAACATCTCTGCATTTAAATAAGTAGGCACTAGCAATTTTGTAACCACATGATTAGAATCTAGCTTAATAAATTTTGGTAACCATTTATGCATAAGCCTGACTTGTTTTCTCTGGTTTACTGTAAAGCAGCCAACACAATTAAAGAACCTCAGCCGTTTTGGCTCTAAAGCCTGGCCATTAGGTGAGAGTACTAAGAGCCTAGCGTTGAGTTGTGCCGCCTCCACGGGGCAAACTCTTGGGGCACCTGTCAGTCAATCCTGGCTGCCCGCTGCGAAGGAGCTCTGAGCTCTAGCAGTTAAAGTCACGGGTGTGGAGAGGCTCTTAGTGCTGCCATTGGGGCACCTGTCAGTCAGTATTGACTGCCCGCTGCGAAGGAGCTCTGAGCTCTAGCAGTTAAAGTCACGGGTGGTTAGGACCTTGGGGCATCCGTCAGCCTAGCCCGGGCTGCCCGCCGCGAAGGGACAGTGCGTCCTAGCGGTTAAAGTCACGGATGGTATAAACGGGCATAGCTGGCACCTCACCAAACATCCTTGGCCGTCGGCTAACAATATGGCAGAACAACAATTTTGGCAGCTTCATTCTAAATGGATTGAAGTGGTAACAATAACAAGCAGCTTTACAGCAAGTGCGATTGGGCTGAATTCAGTTCATAGCTGTTGTGAAGTGGGAATTTTGGTAATATTTTTCTGATTCCATTGTGGGCCTCGGTGTCCCTCTGTGCTGTGTGTGAAGGGTTAAAAAGCTCTTGGGGGAGAGTAGTGGACATGAGGTGAGTGCCTCACATACGGGTCTGGTTGTTAAAGGACTGGCTGAAACCAACCCATAGCAATAGAGCATGTGGAAAGACAATGGAAACCCCCAATCACCAGCATGTTCACTCCTAGCAACCAGCAGCCAAGAGGAAAGAGATTTTCCTCAACCCCTCTGCAGGAGAGCAGAGCAAAGGCCCCAGGTGGAGAACACAGGGGAAAGCTGTCATGTGGCTGGGTTAAGAGCTGGCCTTTGGAGTGACACTCACCTGGCTGGGAGGAAGGACAAAGGGACAGAGTCAGGAAGAGAGCCAAAATGGCTTCGATAGCGGCATTGCTGAAGGGCTCCCTGGCCTGGCATTGGCCAGGTTGAACTCTCTCTTAACCTTTGCCTCTCTTTGCTAGCTTAAGGACTTTCAGATTCTGTACACCAGGTGACTGTGTGGAAAAGGTCACCTGGGTAGTTGCAAACACTCACTGAGAGTATTACACCCTGAGGGGATACAGTACAAGCCTCCCACAGGAGTCTGGCTGGGCTGGATTCGCTGCAGGGAGCCATGAAGACAGACAGGGATCGCTGATGCCTGAAGGTCCAGTTTCGGAGTCCGTGAGCTTGTCCCCGTAGAACCATGCGGGTTCTTGGGGGCTGGCACACTAAAGTGGTCACTTCCAAGGGACTGGGTACAGGCTGGGGCATAGACCAGACCCTGGGGTCGGTGACAGCTTCCATCATGTTTCCCAACGTTAGCAAGGTCTGAATACATCCACTAGGTACGTGTTTTCCGATTTACACTTGGAGCCCGAGAGAAAAGGAATACGAGATAAAGAACTGCAGTTTAGAGAGTGGAGGGTACAATCTCAGTTCAATGAGCAACTCAATATGAATGGAAATTGTGAACAAACAATTAAATGAGACCACCTAAGATTCTTAACAATAAGCAAGGGAATAAAGCTTGCTGGGGGGAGGCTGATTGGGAGCTTGGCAGATTACTTTTGAAGTGTAAGCACGATGATTTTATAATATGACCTTGATTATAATTACTCAGGCCACTACAAGGATCCCTTAAGAAAGAGAATTCTACTTTGAGAGACCCACAGTCATTCAGACTATTAATCTAAGTTGCTGGAAAGAAAAGTGTCCCAACTATAATTCTAATTGGTACCTCTATGTTCCAGTTGTGTTGCTCCAGGGTATGACGACACTGGTCCATAGACTCTATGCCAGTCAAGTCCTGGTGAAGGAAGGAAAAAAACCAAAGGATGAATGCTAAGGAAGTGAGATATTTCTATAGTTCATTGCTGTATTTGAACAGAGGAGTGTTACCATAATACAAAATTAATAACCAGACCCTTTGGTTTAAAAAGCTTCCCCTCCCAATTCAGCACTGATTGCTTCTGGCCATTGCTCATGAAAATCATGCAACTTCTGTAGGTATTCTTATTTCTTCTGTGAAACGGTGCGCTCTCAGACAGGACTTTACATTCTCCCAATACTAAGTAATCCCCAGCACTTCTGCAAGGTAGGTAAGTATCTTACCTATTACCGGCTTCTAGCCAGACTGAGAAATCCAATCAGCCTTACTGCCTGGGAGCCTTCCCCTCCACTCCAGAAGGAATGGGACGCTACTCCTAAAAATCAGTACACATAAAGGTCACCCCCCACCCCCAAGCTCCTGCCTAGCAGGGAGTGAGGGAAGCCATTGGCAAGCCTTCCAGCCCATCACTTCAGGCACAATTCATTGCAACTGTAAAGTGATTCAGGTGAAATGAGTGATATTATTGAAGATGTAGCATTGTTCAGCTTTACACTATATGCTGTAGTGTACAATGTCATCCAGTTTACACAGATACAGCACTCTGAACACATTACAATGTGATCTGAAACTCAGCGATTGTGCAAAAAATACCAAACCACCACCTACAGACTTCACAGCCACCGGGGCTCTCAGTACTCATTCAACAGCAGGTAAGCACAATTCAAGTCCTTGCTAATCAAAACTTCTGCACAAGTTGCCCATGGACATGGGCATCTGACATGATAAGATAGCAAGCTAACATCACTTTAATCAAAGATTTTTTTCCTCATGCAAAAGTTAACATTCCTGTCACCATACCAGAGAAATAAATCTCTCCCCACACCACCCACTAAAAACATCCTCTAAAATACATAATAGGGTTTTATTTTATACTGTGCCCATCACCATGGTATCTGAGCACATATATATATTTATGGAAAACCATTCTGCTGTTAGCCCTGTAGAAGCAACTGCTTGAAGCAGTCAGTGAAAGTTAGGCATATTATGGGAGATATCATTAAGTGATGTTGGTGCACAAACCTAAAGGTAAATAAAAGAAAGCCACATTGGCTTCCGCTCCATTAAAAAACAAACCAGTAGGGAAATCCTGTTCCATTTGGTAAACTGAAAACCCCTGGGAGAGCTTATATTTGTAGTAGTAATTATTTTACAGGGAAGTGAGTGGCAAGGGAAGACACGATTCATTTTAGTTGTTGCACCTTCCAATGCGCATTGACCCTTTTAAGCCAGAGTCCACTGTTTCCCATTCTGCCTCATTTCTTGTATCAACCCTCTCAGCAAGATCTCTTGTAAGGCCAAGCTTTATTGATTAAGATTAAGTAGCTCATGTTCTGGACTGACTCACTGTTTGCATAGACTGTTTCACTTTCTTTCCTATTAGTGGCTTGAAAAATTTAGTGAACATCTAGCTTTGGGATTAAACCTGATGGCCAGAGAGAGATTTAAAAATTTTTAACGCTAACGTTAAAAAATTATATAGTACACAAGTTAAGAAAAGAGTGTCTGTACATCTAACAAAGAGAGGGAAGAGCATCTTCGCAAGCAGGCTGGCTAACCTAGTGAGGAGGGCTTTAAACTAGGTTCACCCAGGGAAGGAGACCAAAGCCCCGAGGTAAGTGGGAAAGTGGGATACCGGGAGGAAGTACGAGCAGGAGAGCGCAAGAGGGGAGGGCTCCTGCCTCATACTGAGAAAGCCAGACGATCAGCGAGTTATCTTAAGTGCCTATACACAAAGGCAAGAAGCCTGGGAAACAAGCAGGGAGAACTGGAAGTCCTGGCACAGTCAAGGAATTATGATGCAATTGGAATAACAGAGACTTGGTGGGATAACTCACATGACTGGAGTACTGTCATGGATGGATATAAACTGTTCAGGAAGGACAGGCAGGGCAGTAAAGGTGGGGGAGTTGCACTGTATGTAAGAGAGCAGTATGACTGCTCAAAGCTCAAGTATGAAACTGCAGAAAAACCTGAGAGTCTCTGGATTAAGTTTAGAAGTGTAAGCAACAAGGGCGATGTCGTGGTGGGACTCTGCTAAAGACCACTGGACCAGGGGGATGAGGTGGACGAGACTTTCTTCTGACAACTCACGGAAGTGACTAGATTGCAGGCCCTGGTTCTCATGGGAGACTTCAGTCACCCTGATATCTGCTGGGAGAGCAATACAGCGGTGCACAGACAATCCAAGAAGTTTTTGGAAAGCACAGGGGACAATTACCTGGTGCAAGTGCTGGGGGAACCAACTAGGGGCAGAGCTCTTCTTGACCTGCTGCTCACAAACCGGGAAGAATTTGTAGGGGAAGCAAAAGTGGATGGGAACCTGGAAGGCAGTGACCACGAGATGGTCAAGTTGAGGATCCTGACACAAGGAAGAAAGGAGAGCTGCAGAATATGGACCCTGGACTTCAGAAAAGCAGACTTTGACTCCCTCAGGGAACTGATGGGCAAGATCCCCTGGGAGAACAACATGAGGGGGAAAGGAGTCCAGGAGAGCTGGCTGTATTTTAAAGAATCCTTATTGAGGTTACAAGAACAAACCATCCTGATGTGTAGAAAGAATAGTAAATATGGCAGGCGACCAGCTTGGCTTAATAGTGAAATCCTTGCTGATCTTAAACACAAAAAAGAAGCTTACAAGAAGTGGAAGATTGGACAAATGACCAGGGAGGAATATAAAAATATTGCTCAGGCATGCAGGAGTGAAATCAGGAAGGCCAAATCACACTTGGAGTTGCAGCTCGCAAGAGATGTTAAGAGTAACAAGAAGGGTTTCCTTCAGGTATGTTAGCAACAAGAAGAAAGTCAAGGAAAGTGTGGGCCCCTTACTGAATGAGGGAGGCAACTTAGTGACAAGAGGATGTGGAAAAAGCTAATGTACTCAATGCTCTTTTTGCCTCTGTCTTCACGAACAAGGTCAGCTCCCAGACTACTGCACTGGGCAGCACAGCATGGGGAGGAGGTGACCAGCCCTCTGTGGAGAAAGAAGTGGTTCAGGCTATTTAGAAAAGCTGGACGAGCACAAATCCATGGGGCCGGATGCGCTGCATCCAAGAGTGCTAAAGGAGTTGGCGGCTGTGATTGCAGAGCCATTGGCCATTATCTTTGAAAACTCATGGTGATCGAGGGAGGTCCCGAACGACTGGAAAAAGGCTAATGTACTGCCCATCTTTAAAAAAGGGGAGGAGGAGGATCCGGGGAACTACAGGCCAGTCAGCCTCACCTCAGTCCCTGGAAAAATCATGGAGCAGGTCCTCAAGAAATCAATTCTGAAGCACTTAGAGGAGAGGAAAATGATCAGGAACAGTCAGCATGGATTCACCAAGGGCAAGTCATGCCTGACTAATCTAATTGCCTTCTATGATGAGATAACTGGCTCTGTGGATAAGAGGAAAGCAGTGGATGTGTTATTCCTTGACTTTAGGAAAGCTTTTGATACAGTCTCCCACAGTATTCTTGCCAGCAAGTAAAAGAAGTATGGGCTGGATGAATGGACTATAAGGTGGACAGAAAGCTGGCTAGATTGTCGGGCTCAACCGGTAGTGATCAATGGCTCCATGTCTAGTTGGCAGCCGGTATCTAGCGGAGTGCCCCAAGGGTCCGTCCTGGGGCCGGTTTTGTTCAGTATCTTCATTAATGATCTGGAGAATGGCGTGGACTACACCCTCAGCAAGTCTGCAGATGACACTAAACTGGGAGGAGTGGTAGATATGCTGGAGGGTACGGATAGGATACAGAGGGACCTAGACAAATTAGAGGATTGTGCCAAAAGAAATCTGATGAGGTGCAACAAGGACAAGTGCGGAGTCCTGCACTTAGGATGGATGAATCCCATGCACCGCTACAGACTAGGGACCGAATGGCTAGGCAGCAGTTCTGCAGAAAAGGACCTAGGGGTTACAGTGGACGAGAAGCTGGATATGAGTCAACAGTGTGCCCCTTGTTGCTGAGAAGGCTAATGGCATTTTGGGCTATATAAGTAGGGGCATAGCGAGCAGATCGAGGGACGTGATCGTTCCCCTCTATTCAACATTGGTGAGGCCTCATCTGGAGTACTGTGTTCAGTTTAGGGCTCCACACGACAAGAAGGATGTGGAAAAACTGGAAAGCGTCCAGCAGAGGGCAACAAAAATGATTAGCAAAAAGAAAAGGAGGACTTGTGGCACCTTAGAGACTAACAAATTTATCTGAGCATAAGCTTTTGTGAGCTACAGCTCACTTCATCGGATGCATTCAGTGGAAAATCCAGTGGGAAGATTTATATACATAGAGAACATGTAACAATGGGTGTTACCATACACACTGTAACGAGAGCGATCAGGTAAGGTGAGCTATTACCAGGAGGAGAGCGGGGGACGGACGACACATTTTCTAGCAGTTGACAAGAACATCTGAGGATCAGTCGGCGGGGGGAGGGGGGATAAACATGGGGAAATAGTTTTACTTTGTGTAATGACCCATCCACTCCCAGTCTTTATTCAAGCCTAAGTTAATTGTATCCAGTTTGCAAATTAATTCCAATTCAGCAGTCTCTCATTGGAGTCTGTTTTTGAAGTTTTTTTGGTTGAAGAATTGCAACTTTTAGGTCTGTAATTGAGTGACCAAAGAGATTGAAGTGTTCTCCAACTGGTTTTTGAATGTTACAATTCTTGATGTCTGATGTGTCCATTTATTCTTTTACATAGAGACTGTCCAGTCTGACCAATGTACATGGCAGAGGAGCACTGCTGGCACATATCACATTGGTAGATGCGCAGGTGAACGAGCCTCTGATAGTGTGGCTGATGTGATTAGGCCCTATGATGGTGTCCCCTGAATAGATATGTGGACACAGTTGGCAACGGGCTTTGTTGCAAGGATAGGTTCCTGGGTTAGTGGTTCTCTTGTGTGGTGTGTGGTTGCTGGTGAGTAGGGGGCGC